CATGAACATCGAAAGCTTAACAACCCGAATCAGACGTTTGCGATGAAGAAGATGTGGCTTAACCTCGTTCAAAAGATTTGTAATTTGAATTGCTGGAACATATAATAATAGGAAATGAAAAATACATAAGTTGGTGGAATCGCTAACAAAAAATGAAAGGCCCTACTTTTGGGAATTCAAGATTCATGACAAAAAAACGGCGATACGCGCATTTCAAGCCTGTCATGTTCCCATGGCATATAATTAGTTTTTTACGGAACTTACGTATTTAAGGGAGGGCTCGAAGAGAGCGGACACATGTGTTTTTGAAGTTTTTGCTTCCCATTCTGAAATCCTAGTCAGAATCTCTTCTTTTCACGTCTTACAGCTTTTAATGATTTTAAGGTCGCTTTTGCTGCAGTGGATCTATCCGCTAAGAGAGACCTTCAACTTAAAAAAAATGCAGGTAGGTCGTAGCACCAACACGCATCAGTACTCCATAAGTCACACGGGTAGGAAAATCCCTTTTTTGAAGTCATTCCATCAAAGAAAACCGTGAGCTTCGAGTATGTGTGAAGGCTGTTCTAGGTAACCTCTTAACCGATGGTTTTTGTGATGTAGAACAAGTCATTCATTTCTCATGAAATTGTAGGCTCTCAGAGTCATGGCTCTTACTCCACAGTTTGAGGCCCACGCAGTTTATGCTCAAAGGCAGAGTTTACGGTATGAATGATTTATGAGATTCCCCTATAGTATGAATTCGAAACCTCCCCTCATACCATACCTTATAAACTCGAAAAACGTCATGGATAGAGCACAGTGAGGGGCCAGAGATTGTATCCTGTGAAGGTCACACCCCTCGTGGACGAGTTTCAACGGCTTTCTAGAGGCTGCACTACTTCAAGAGACTCCCATGTAGAAAGTTCGAAGAACTTGCCGTAAACCATGGCGACAGTGCAATGCAATTTCGGACAATTTCTGCGTGATGTAGTCACCTCTTTGAGCAATAGGAGCAAGTTTTATCTCGTCCAAACACCTCTCACTGAGATTAGTGGTGATCTCGTACAAACTCCACTCTACTACTTTTTAAATGCCTTGAAGTAGGCGGATTTTCTCGCATTTTCCGCTACCGATGTACTCCTCTACATCGACACTTCCGCTTTTCAACCTACAAAAGGTACCTCAAATTTATCGTGAACTGTTCTGTTAACCGTGAGTTTTCACTATTTCCGAAGGATTTGTAAATATATGAAATTTTTGCCATACTCCCCCCCACCCACACGACTAGATCTGCACATTCATCACTCCTTCTGAAAGCTAATCTCTTGACTTCAACAGCGTGATAGGAGTCTTTCTCCGTCGTAA